ATAATGCGGGGGTATTACTTTCTTTAGCAGCAAAGTTTAACTGGGAACTACATTAGTTGGATGTCAAAAATGCCTTCTTGAATGGAGACCTTCAAGAAGAGGCTTTAATGGACCCTCCTCCATGTTATGATATGAAAGGGTGGGACCTTTGAGATACATTTTAGGAATAAAAGTAGCAAGATGCGGTGAAGGAATTTACATTTGTTAGAGAAAATATGCATTAGAATTATTGAAGGAGACCGGGAAATTAGGAAATAAACCTGCAGTTACACTTACAGAGAAAAACCATGGGTTGCAAGAAGGCGATGAGGATCTATACCCAGACAAAGAAAGATATCAAAGACTTGTGGGTAAGCTACCTTATTTGTATCTTACCAGGTCTGACATTGCATATGTAGTCCATGTGGTTAGTCAATTTATGCATGCTCCATGTGTTTCCCACATGAAGGCAGTTGAGAGAATACTAAGTGATGTAGGACCAGCTCAGTTCTAGTCCTTAGAGAATGTTGAATGGGCTCTTGGATCAAAATTTTATGGCTGTAATGGCTTTTTGAAGGGATAAGAGAGAAAATAGGGAGAGAAAGAAGAGGAAAAATACCTGGAATCACTGTAGGGCATGGGAATCACTCACCATAGCATAAGCTGAAGAAAACTCAATAAACTTCATTGCCTTTGTGTAAAACGTCCCTACATATTTATAGACTCTAAATTCATAATAATCCTTGAAGTCAAACTGTTAGACTCATAATAGTCTTAGGAGTCAAACTGTTAAACTCAATAATCTTAGTAGGACTCAAGCTAAGCTATCATATCCTATTTCAATTCAAAGAGGACTCAATAACTCTAATCCTACTTATGCAATGACTCTAAAATTTTAAACATAAACAAACTATAACTAGACAAATTAAACCCTATCATTGGACCCTACAGAAAAATTATAAATGGCAAAAATACTCTTGGTGTTTAATTCAGTCCAAATCCCAAATACCATCACTATGCCATATCAGGACCTGTTGGAAGGCCTTCTTTCTAGAATAAGTCTTCAAGGTGCTGATTGATTCCTATCACTAAGGTATCTAAAGACATGCCCTGGAAAAGGGTGGTTGTTTAAAAAACATGATAAGCTTTGATTTAGAAGCATATATTGATGTTAATTGGGCTGGATCAGCTAGAGATAGGAGGTCCACTATCGGGTATTGTACCTTTGTAGTGTCAAACAAGCAGTTTGTACTAGAGAGGAGAAGACAGAATTCTGGGGTGAAGAACTGAATGATTCAACCCTACCCCAAGAGCCTCAATATATAGATTAATGAAATAAGAATATTTACAGAAAAGCCCTTGCAGGGCTAAAGAGAAAATAACAAAATAATAGATACAATACAACAGGGACTACATTAATATGGTACATCAGTGAGACTCTTCACATGTAGGTGGTAACCTTGTGACTTGGATGAGTATGAGGCAGAGCACAGAGTAATGGCCCATGGTGTAGGCTGTGTAGCTGAGCTTCTTTGGTTTCAGATTCTCCTAAAGGAATTGGGAATTCTAGTTACTAGTCCTTTGAGATTCTACTGTGACAACCAAGCATCCATTTACATTGCAATTAATCCAGTTCAACATGATAGGACTAAACACATTGAAGTTCATAGACACTTTATAAGAGAAACAATCACTTTTGGGGAGCTTTGTGTTCCTTATATGCCTTCTGCAAAACAGCTAGCTGATGTTTTTACTGAAGCTCTCTCCAAAGCCAAATTTGATGAACTATTGTGCAAGCTAGGCATGATAGATATCTATTCTCAGCTTGAGGGGGGGTGTTGTGAGACATAATGTTGTGGGCTTGGGCCTTTACTGTTTATGTTTTGTTTTATTTTCTCTTTGTGTTAAATGGGCCTGGGCCTATATTGCAATTTTAAATCTGTTTTGCCGCCTACAAATGAGGGGCAAACTTGTTTCTTCATGTACTTTATTTTAATCTCACCATAAATATCAGTTTAGGGCTGGTAAGAAATCATAGCCACCCATTACTTTTCAGCCTCTTTTCTCTCCTATTATTTATGATTTACACTGAAATTGTAAATTCCAGTTTGAATTTTCTCTTGTATATCTGGTTCATTCAGTGAAGATAAAACTAAGTTCTAGGGATTACTTAGCTCAATTTTGGACTTAGTTGAGTCATCCTTTGACTCGTGTAGTAATCACACAAGTAGGTGTGGGTAGACCTGGAGCTGAAAAAGGTAATCATTCCTATGCTCTTGCAAATCAATTCTAATTACAAAGATAACCTTTTTGTGTTTACAGATAATGGATACAGTAGCAGAAATTCAAGAGCGCCATGATGCTGTAAGAGAACTAGAAAGAAGGCTTCTTGAATTGCAGCAGGTATTTACTTAAGTACTTTTTGTTTCTATTTAGAAGCTTGATCAAGCCTCTGGTCAACTGAGGAATATTAATTGGAGCTTAAAATTTGGGATTGCACAGTAGCTTTTGAAATCCATTTAATGGGTCAAACACTGAAACTGAATTGCCATTGGGTTATAGTTTATAGTTGTGCCTCAATGCCTGCTATCAATGAAAACTAATAATGACTTGTCAAATATATAGAATGAAGTCTAAGTTCTAAATTGTATATTAATTGGGTTTTAGTCAGGGGATTGATTGCTATCGGGTACTTGTACATGTGAACATATTGTTACTTGCTCTTAAATGTAAGGTTCAACAGAGGGTGTCCTAAAGCTTGATAGTTAGTTATATTATATGACTTCTTTTAGGACCTAAGCCTCATGTTTCTCCTCCCACAGAAAGAAAGAACTCCTTTATTGATTTAATTTTTTTTGTTGATTTAATCATTTTAAGACCAAAGAAAATGTGGTCTGAAGTAGTAAGAAATGATTCAAGGACTTACAATTTGATGGTAAACAGGGCTCTTGACAGAGCATAATGATAGGATGGGCTTTGTTTAGCTGACTCAAATAGCTGCAATTAAGGACAACTTCTCTCCCTACAAAAGAATGGGTGAGCTGCTCATAAAAATATCTTCACAGATGAAGTTCAGTGTAGTCAAAGCTGTATAAAATGAAAATGAGCCACTGACAATAACAGTTACATCCTATCTTGCACAGAGAAATACAGGCTTCTGCCCTTTAAGTTCTTCGATGATCATAGTCAAATGAATGAGCACTATTGTTTTTCAGATTATTTCAAAATCTGTACATTCATTATACTTATTTTCTTATTTCAATTCAAATACTCTGAAAATAATGGAGTGAATGACCAAAATTTTTAATCATTGAAAGATGTGACATCCAAACATGACATCTTCAACTGTTACTTGGTTATCCATCTCCACCTTGCTTGCACCGCCTGGTCCTAAGTTCTTAACCAACTGGCACACTTCATCAATGTGAACCTCCTTGGCCTCAGCCATTTCTTCTCTGGTATGACAATCTTGTATCAACACCACCTTCTCATTTTCTGATTTAGGAAATGCTCTATTTCCTTCTTGTCAGGGAAGAAGTATACCCTAGAATGGACTAGTAAGAGGAGCTGGTGTTTTAAAAGCACAATGTGCAAAAAAAAGCACGAGGGATAATTTGCGCCCAAGGTGCAAGGCGAGTACACCTTTTCGGAGCAAGGTGCAAAAATGCAATATATATATATATATATATATATATATTAAACATAATATTAATTAAATATATAAACTTAAATTTTAAAATAAATGTTTAAAAAAAATATATTATCTAAAATTAAAATGCAAAACATAACATGTAAAACATATTCAAATGAATTTATCAAAAAAAAACATATTTAAATTTAAATCATGTAAAACCTCCTATCTTTTTTTTCTCAATTGCATTACTACAAGGAGCTAATGTGATGTGAAACATTTTGCATTCCTGATTCCGTAAGCTGCCTTTGTACCAAGCCCCTAGAGGCAAGCCCAAACAAGTCCGTGTTAGGGCCTTAAATTCTTAATCCCTGCACATAAAAAATGATTTTGTAATTTTAATTGTCTTTAAGAAGATATTTTATTAGAATGAATGAATGAACAACATTAGCAAATAGGGGTTCTTGGAGAACCATCTATTGAAAGTGTTGCGCTTGCGGCCTAGGCAAAGCACAGACCTTAAAATGTGCCTCGCCTGTGCACTTTTAAACCACTGAGAGGAGCTGGATGAAGAGAGACATTACTGTCCTCTCCATCCACTTCCATCCCAGATCTAGCATCTGCCAGACCACCCAAAGGCCGAAAAGTTCACCATTGGAACACTTCATTCTCCACCATCACCAAACTAACAGTTTCTGGTTAGAAATAGAACTGGAAAAGACTTGCATCTAATAGTTTCTGGTTAGAGGTAGAATTAGAAAAGACTAGCACCTGACCACCATATCTGCAAGCATTGCATAGCCACTGTCTTAGGTGACCCCTAAATGTTTGGACAACTTCCATAAATAATTGGCAGGATATAACACCAAAAGCACAAACTATAACGGAAGGCTTCTCTTACAAGAGTGCACCTTACTATGCCCCCAATGGTCCTGAAAAGACTGAAAACTCATATTTGTTCTCTCTCGAAATACCACCTAAGCTGGCACTTTTTGACCTTTGCTTCTTCCAAAATTATATTTAACAGATTGTGTTTTATTTGTAAATCTCTGACAGTAAAGATTGAATGTGTGTGCATTTATTTTCTAAATAATCTTTGATTTGTATGCCTACCAGATATTCCTAGACATGGCGGTGTTGGTAGATGCACAAGGTGATATGTTGGACAACATAGAATCACAGGTATGGAGTTGCTCACATTTGATGCATATAATATCTTGTCATGAATAAATTTTCAGTGTGTATTTGTGAGATGTGTTCTCATGAAACAGGATTTAGAGAAATTCCTATCACACCATATAAGAACCAGGAGGATCTTGTATTGCATTAGTCAGCAGTAGTTGTAGCAATGATCAACAGAAAATATTTGATTTATTTGAAACAGACTAAACATGATAAGTTGATTTTTGACTGTTTGATCTTTAATTCTGGAAAGTTGTCCTATTGTCCCAAATAATAATAGAGTATCGGTGAATGGTTGAGATCATATGGCTATGTGTTGACTTTTTGGTGCTTTTAGATCTTCAGGGTTTGGTAAATATTTGGTTCCAATACCCTGTGAGCCTGCTATTTTCTTTTTATACATACCGGAATTAAGAATTCACTCTAGATTGCCCCGAGTCCCCAACTACAGTATTATTGTTAGTGATTTTTTTTTCATGCCACATTCTCAGGTCTCTAGTGCTGTTGATCACGTACAGTCAGGAAATACTGCACTACAGAGGGCAAAAAGTCTACAGAAGAGCTCCCGGAAATGGATGTGTATAGCAATTCTTATCCTTCTTATAATTGTGGCCATCATAGTTGTGGCCGTGATCAGGCCTTGGGTTAATAAGGGTTCTTAACTGGAACACTATATGTGATGTAAGTGTTTTTATTGATACCTCAGATATTTAGTTTTTGGTTTTCAATTTATTATCATATATTGCTTTTCCTGGTCCTTGTTTACACTTTACAGTTCCCAGCTTCTGGTTGTGTCTTTCGGGTGCTATAGAGCAATTGTTTTGGCTTTGTTTGTGCATTCCATGTATGGAATCGGATATCTTGTATTCTTGTTCTCTGTTACTATAGATTTGCGCCTAGGCAATTTCTACTAAGCTCTCAATGATGGGTTTCAAAATGTGTAAATAATAGGGTTAAGTGTGATGTTATTTTTATTGTTGTGTTATCTTCTACCATGTGCTATTTTATTTTCTTTTGCCTATATATCATGTTGTAAAAGTAATCATGGGCTGGGCCAGGCCGGGCTGGGTTTTTCACCTATGATGAGGGCTATCACCCTTAAGGCTGCATTTGGCATTCCTTATTTTAAAGAATCATCTCCTTTTTGTAGTTAAAAATCAAGTGTCCATAGGGACATTTTAAAAGCAAAAAAGGAGAAGTGTTTTAAGGAATGCCAAATCCAGCCTAAGACAGATCCAAAACTGTTATTTACTTTTAACCTTATAATATAATTTTTCATGTTTGTTGTTGGATTCTTTGTGTCTCATTCTAGGGTGGGAAGTAGTATTAAAGACACGACGTATAATCTCTATTTAGGTTGTCAATGATATAGGTGCCACGTGCCAGTTCTGATAGGAATTGTTACATGGTTATTTTTATTTATTTTGATAGAAATTGTTTTATTTAAATTGTAGGCTAATTAGAGGGGTAAAATTATGGGAGGCAGAGGGGTGTTGAACAATCATCTTACAGTTTTTGGATGATTGACTCTGAATTATAACAAAGCAGCCCATCTGGCATCTCAAGAAACCTAACAATTAAACTAAGATCCTAGCTAGAGTTTTTAAGACTTTTATTAGCAAATCAGATTATCAGAATGGTAGGGTATTTGAGATCTCCCATCATAACAGTCATGAGAAGAACATTCAAAGTATTGTCAGAATCATACTCAAACTGGCCGAACGGAAATCCCAGATTCTAAGGTTGGATGGATCAGTCTAAAATCTGTCACTCATTTCTATAGTTTCTTGTAACTGTATTTTCGATTTCCCTTGAGAAACTTTAGAATGAACTGATGGGAATATTTATATGACCTAAAGTTTCAGGATTTGTATTAATTAAACAAGTTGTAGCGGTCAACGCAGCTGGCAAAATAGGATGGAGGATTTTAATGAAAGAGGACAGTGTGGGTTATAACCAAGCACCCCAAATATTTAAACAATAACATCTTTGAGTTGAGCCCTGAAATAAAGACAGCTTTTAATGGGCTCGAGTTGAACATATACTTTTCCATGTGAGAATTCTTTACACTTGGTTGGAAACATGATATTGACTCAAACTCTTTAAAGGATTGAGGGTGTCACTGTATTAGGTCTTCATGTATTTGACACTCTCGACACGTCTTGATATATTTGGTGGCGTTTCTCTCCAGCGTTGGCTAATAATATTCTATTTCTATATGGACCATTCTCTCATATTTGGTGTTTCTTTCCTTTATGCAGTTCTTCCATTACTTCTTTGGCCTCAGATCACCTTAAACAGAGTTGTGGTTTGCCAATTGCCACGGTACCCCCGTCAAAGCTTCCCTTCTTTGACCTAAACCACTGTTCCTTTCCTTTCACTTTTTTTTGGTCCTGGCTATTGGCGGGGTAGAACCTCATGGATGAGGTACTGTAAGTAGGGCTGATCATGGGCCAGGCCGGGTTTTGCACTTATCATAAGGTCTATAGCTTAGGCCCGGGCCCAGCCCGGCCTGGCTCAGGGTTCTGGGCCTAAAACATAAGCCCTAGCCCAAGTCTATATGGGCCTGGGCTGGGCCGGGCTTTGCACTTATGATAAGGTCTATAGCTTAGGCCTGGGCCCAGCCTAGCCCGAGGTTTCGGGCCAGAAACATAAGCCCTAGCCCAAGTCTATATGGGTTTGGGCCGGGTCGGGCTTGATTTTGGGCCAATGTCACTCATACATAAAACATTACATCTATATATTAAATTACATAACATGCATATAAACATATTTTATAGATTATATAATATAAAATATTACATATACTATAAATTATACATGTCATGTTATAATATTTATATATAAAATACATAATATAATGTAAAATGGCCTGTATACATTATACACAAAATGTGTAAGTTTAAATATGTGGGTCGGGTCGGGCCTAGGCCGGGCTTGAAGTATTAAGCCCAAGCCCAGTCCTAAAATTTATGGGCCTAATGTGGGTTCGAGTCGGGCCTGAACACAAAACCCAGGCCCAAGCTTGGAATTTTCCGGGCCGGGCTGAAATGATCACCCCTAACTGTAAGGAAATCTACCTTCAGTTGTTGTATGCACATTACTCACATGCTTTAGCGCATTTGGAGAATAGTTGTTGGAAAATCGTAAATAAGGCAGAGTGGAACTTATTGGTAATTGCTTTCCAAACTGAGAACTTGTAGAATTGTAGATCTGAGAGATTATAGAGAGGAGGGATGAGTCGTGCCACTTGGTCAGTTTCCTTAAAATTGCATTTGCTCCTATGGTGCAGTTGGGTAATTGCGAATCGGTCGCCAAGATAAAACATAATCCACAGGCCACTATTAGGCGTGTACTCGCTTATCAGACCTCCGTGAATCACAAAGAATGATGCTTAGAGAAGAACAATTGACAGAGAAGAAAAGACTGTGTTGAGTGCACTGGTGTGTGTTTCTAGGTCAACCAACACTCCTTATATAGAGTGTTCTCAATCACCTGAGTGGAAGTGTCCTTTTAATAGATGTCTTTTCAGAACGGTGCACCTATTTGAAGAGACACAAAGAAGAAGAGGCACGAAAAGGAAGAAGAAAACATTTAAAAAATAAATTTTGAAATTCAAAAGTCAAATTGTTTAAACCAATCAAAACTAAAATGATTCGGTGTAGCGTGTGTATACACGTACACGTACCCGTGCCCTCACCCACGCCCACGTCCTGTCCTGTCCCTACTCAACTTGGCTCAATGCGTGCGTGTGAAAAGCACCCCCACATGTACCCGTGCCCTCGCCCATGCCCATGCCCACGTCTTGTCCTGTACCCACCCCCACATGTAATCAAACTCAACTCTCTTCCCAAGCAATGTGGGACAAGGAGTCTTCCCATGCATTCAAAGTAGGGAAGAGAAAAAGACAAACCCGAGAAACACAAGGGAGGGAGGAGAGATTCTTGAAATTTTGAATCTCCCTCTAACAATAGTTGTTGTATTGCCTAAGCATCTTCCACCATTGTGGGCTAGTAAACTCCAACTTGTTGAAGTTGTCTATACAATGCAATTTTCTCATCGTACCCAACCTGATGGACTTCTTCCAACCAAGGTTTAAAATATTGATATGCCCTTGTGTATTGGCATGGGGATAGCAATACTTAAAGTAAATAAGCGTATCATGAAGCCACCGATACAATATGATACACCTGATGTGGGGTGTATCATATCAAAATTTTGAACCTTGTTTCCAACATTTGTTGAATATCTCTAGGGTCCATGCACCCAAATAAGGTCCCTGATAATATACTTAATCCATTATTGATTCTAACAAATGTCTTAATTACAGCCAGGATGTCAAGGAGGCCAATGCATTTGATAGTTTGATTTTAATTTACTCTTGTGCTTGTATTCAAGGGTTTCAAATCCCTTTGCTAAACATTGTGCCCACGTATTTGGCTAAGTTGAGTTCTCGGACAACAAAATCCCTAGTCAATTGTTTGATTACCACACTACTGGAGTCGCCCTGTCTTGCTTATCCAGTTTGAGGACTTTTGTTATTCCTATTGGAGGGAGATTCAAATTTACAAGAATCTCTCTCCTCCCTCTCTCGTTTTTTATCCTTTCCTCTTCTCACACTTGAATGACTCATTGTCCCATATTGCTTTGGAAAGGAGTGGAAGTATAGTATATTTGTAGTTTTGCTCCCTCTATGGATAGGGACTCATAGGAGGAGAGGACTATAGGTATTCTATGCATGTGAGGGGGGGTTGGGGTGCTTTTCACACTACGCGCTAAGCCGAGCTGGGGCATGGGCGCAAGCGGGCACGAGTGCGGGTGCAGGTGCGCACAATGCATCGAATCTTTTTGATTGAACCGAATTACACCTTTTATTTTTTAAATTGAGCCTTTTCAATTTCAAATTAAAACGTTTCTTTTTTGTGTCTCTTCTTCCTCCTTGTGTCTCTTCGAACAGGTGCATTGTTCTGAAGAGTCTCTTATCTGAAAGGACACATTAGTGTCCATTCGAGTCTGAGAGTACTCTATAAGAAGAGTGCTAGCTGACCCAGTCTACTCACACCATTTTTGACATTCTTCTTTGTTTTCTCTGAGAAATCTGAGCACCAATCTTTTGTGGTTTGTGGAGGTCTAGTAAGCAAGTGCACGCCTACTAGTGGCCTGTGGGCTGTTTTATCTTGATGACCGATTTGCGATCACCTGGTTGCACCATAGGGGGCAGTTTTAAGGAGAGTGACCAAGTGGCACGACTTAGCCCTCCATCTTCCTACAATTCCCAGGTTTGAGTTCCTACAACAACTTCACACCATTGCAATTTCGGTTTGGAAAGCGATTACCGATAAGTTTCATCTGCTCTCTTTACTATTATTACAACATTGTTAAAACCATATTCATGGAACCTATCACTGCTAACTCCTTCATGAGAAATCGGATACTGTCAACAGTTCCAAACTTCTCTAAGATTGGACCATTCAATGGAACCAACTACAAGCATTGGAGACAACGCCTGTTGTTTGCCTTAGAACAGTTAGGGGTAGCCTTTGCTTTGACCGAACCCAACCAATCAAACATGGAGGAGCTAGCCCATTCTGTTATTGTAGAACACTGGAATACAACCAACCACCTCTGCACCAACCATATTCTTAACTGCTTGTCCAATGTACTGTACAATGTTTATTCTTCCTACAATTATGCCTATGAATATGCATTGGACACTAAGTATGCTCTAGAAAATGCTAGAAATAAAAAATATATAATTGCCAACTTCCTGCACTTCATCATGAAAGAAGACATGGACATGTCTGCTCAAATAGATGAGTTCCAGGTTCTTGTGGGGGAACTGCCAGATGAATTCATTGCCGGTTCTCTCATAGAGAAACTGCCACAAACATGGAATGATTTCAAAACCAGTATGAAGCACAA